TAACATCATATCTTTTTACAGCAGTTACAGCAATATCACCGCTGACAGACAAGTTTTCCGTCCCGCGTCAACCACTCCCCCACTGAGGTGCAGCCCACACAATAACATCCTTTTCTTAAAAACTCATAAGACAGGCTCAAGTACCATAGCAAATATTTTTTACCGCTATGGAGACTTAAAAAATCTTACATTTGCTCTTCCGGGCGCTACATTACTAGGATGGCCAAAGAGATTCCAAGTCTACTTTCCTTTTCGTTTGCAAGACAAAACACCAGACATCCTGTGCAATCACGCTAGATTCAACAAAAAACACATGAACTGGCTTTTTCCCAAAACAACCAGCAAGTACGTGACCATTCTTCGGAATCCAGTGGACAATTTTGAGTCAGCGTTTAGATACATGAATTTGGGAGGACGTATTGGCATGGGGGATGATCCCGAATCCTTGAAAAAGTTCCTAACACATGGAATTTCATTTACCACAATGCGTCAAAAGGGAGAGCCCCTTATCAGAAATCCCCTCATGTTTGACTTAGGATTTAGTTTTAAGTATTACCAGAACATCACAGCTGTAAATGAGTACATTAGATTCCTGGAAAAAGAGTTTGATTTGGTCATGGTAATGGATTACTTTGATGAATCATTGGTGTTGATGAAACGACTGCTTTGCTGGGAAATTGAAGACATTTTGTATTTGAAACTGAACGAAAGACAAGATAACGAAAAGGGTACAATACTGACATCGGATGTGAGAGAAAATATCAAACGATGGAACAGAGCCGATGTTCTTTTGTTTGAATATTTTAATCAGTCACTCTGGATTAAGATTGAAAACGAAGGAGAAAATTTTTATGAAGAACTGGCCTCTTTTCGTAAACGAAGGCGCGAACTACAAAGTACGTGTGTGAGAAATGAAACGCGTCTAGAAACAGTGTATAATGGAAAGACCGTGAAAGGCTATTTTCTTAGAGAAGGACTGCCGAAAGAATTGAAAGCATTTTGCGGAAAACTCACAAGAACTTCTAATAGCTATCTTAGATACTTACGAAAGAAGCACGAGGACAGAGTAGCCGACGAAGTCAAAGAGGACGAGGAGAGCTGGGACCTATCAACAGATCTGTTTTATGATCCCGTTGAACTGGAAGTATATTCCAAGAAAGATATTTTAAAAAAGCCCATGGATTAATGAGTGAAGGAGCCGACAAAGAGTTCTCTTCTACATCTTAGTTTAAGTCTCTTGACAAAGGAAATGCAAAGTCTTCAAAAGTTCAAAGAATAATAAGAAAAATTTACTATAAAATTAATAAAAATAATCTATAACTGATGAGTTTAAGGAAGTCTTGGTCGACCCTTCTCTACTTCCAGATCCCTGTCTTTAATGTCTAAGTTCCTCCTTCTAGGGGTCCTAGATGCCCTTAGACATAGGAGAGCGCTCCGCAAAATTGCAAAGGACACTTTCGCTCTGACCCATGAAATTGTTATGGCGTATCTCTCTTGCTTTTTTGCGGATAATAGCTCGGCTAATTTTGAGTGGTACCTCAGGCATTCGTCAACCATCCCCCCGTCGTTGTAAATACCAGTGGGGTGAAAGTGCCTTGGTCTACTTCTGTTACACGGGTGTTTTATTTTCGCTCCTTTTCATTTTCATGAATCCTGTAAATCTGCTTGGGGCTAAGATCTCTGTAAGAGTCTGTATTGCGATGACACACCCTTATATCGAAAAAAGCAGCCCTCTGTCGCTCCCAGAAACCCCTACAGTGGACTTCGAGGCATACGTCAGGGGCTTCGTTAGTCCCTTTGGGAAATTCTTCGCCTGTAATACGTTGTAAAGCCGGTTCTACCTGCACATCGTAACAAACCATGTCTAGCAGCTCGGCCTGTAGATCGTGTATTTCATTGTGACGCTGAATGACTAAGCCTCCACGCTGGCAGATAATCGCGTGATCCACTTAAACAAGCTCCCACAAACGCATACTGATGGATTATCAGGTATTGGCCAATCATATCGAAGCCTCACAGCGTCCCGAAATTCCCGCTTGTTGAGATCAAAATCCATGTCTTTGAGAGGAATAACTGTAAGCCAGTTGGATGCGCCTTTTTCACAGGCCAGGTCTACGGCTCTTTGTGTCTTGTCTGGCAATAAGGCCTTCTCCTCCTCGAGCTTTTCTTTTAGTCTATCATCCTTTTCTTTCCGGGTCACGTATACTAGTCGTTGTACCTCGACCTCTTCTGGGGTCTCGTGGGATTGCGCCTCTATTTTGCTTACAAGTGGAGCGCTTACCCTAACAGACGCTGAATACTCCGCATGCGCAGTATCAGATGGATTAATGAGCCCAAAGCCTCCCATACGCACCGGTAATGCTACCAGACTACGCTCTTCCTCAGAACAGTTACGTTCTATGAGCGACGGTATAAGTACATCCGAGATTGCACGCTCTAAAGGCTGCAGTAGGTTCTCAATATCCGGCAGTGTTCTCATAAAGTACGTCCACCGATGTCGAAGCCCAAATGGGAATGCTGCGTAACTAGCTTGTGGCTGAGATCTTGCAAACTCCGCCAACCTCGTCAATTTTTTCACCCACTCTTCTACCTTACTACCCACATATTGCTCAAGATAAGACTGAGAGCCCAGCGCAGCGCCAAGGTGTTTGCGCCCCTCAGTGGTGATGTTGATACCAGTCCCTTCAAACATTTCCTTCGCGTAGCATTCCTTTTCCGGCTTAACAACAAGCCAGCATTTCTTGGAGTTAAGATAGTATCCAAGGGTCGGAACAGCCTCTCTCAACCCATCCCACCATTGCTTAACCTCTTCTAGGGATCCTGCTCCAGTAACGTCATCCGGGAACCAGCATTGTTTTGCAGTGCTTCGATTTTGAAGTAAAAACATTAACGGTTGTAGACTAATTGCATACATTGACATAGCTAAAGGGTCTCCCTGTGTGGTTCCTTCTGCAGATTTAAGCTCACTACCACCAACCACAAAAATGCGCGCAGGAACTCGATAAGTGTTAGTTACATAGATGGCGATCAATGGGCATAGCGCGGCCGCTCTGTTTAGTGAATTGAAGGCGTTAGAGGCGTCAACTAGTAAGGCAACATCAGTTTCATCGCCTCCAAAGATATTGCGCATGGCATGTATTGCGGCTTCCTCGCCACTCTTCTGACCAGCGCAGACATGCATGGCCCCACTAGCGTTTACCATATCTTGTTTTGTGACTTTTGTGACGCATTTGCCAATTATTCTTCTAATCACCTCGCCCACACTAATTGGGCGCTCCTAACCGTTACCCTTGTCAAGCGGAATAAGACGACTGGCCACGATAGGTTCAATGGTCAGCGGATCAACAAATTCCGTGTACAGTCTTCTTGTGAGTGTAGCAATAGACTCGCATAGGTTGATACTTGATCTCTTAAAAGACTTGCATGCCAAGATCCTCTTGAAGCCATTGGCGTCCACACCCGAGGGGCCGCCAGACCCCTTAGTTCTTAATGCAGCTTCTCTCACAAGCTCTCCATTAATCCCTTGAAACACTAGGTCAGGTATATCTTCCAAAGGTCCGAACAACATCGACCCTAGCTTGGCCCTCTGCACATCAGGGTGTTTTTCTCTCTTAGAGTTCTCTTATCGTTTTAATTGTCCTGTTTGGCTTTCCTTTTATTTTAACTATTTTTACTCCCTAACATTATTTGAAATGAAATTGGTACGTTTAGGCAAGTGACATTTTTTTGGCGGCATGTGATAGTCGAAGTGAACAATAAATGTAGAAAACAACCAAAACCTGTAAGTCTCAAAACCCCCGAAATTCGACCATTAACATCGACAACTGCCATCCAAAATACGGAATTCTGAAAATATTTTGCACTTAAAACAGTCACTTAAAGCTTATTTTAGAATAACTCTTAGTTAATTAACTTACTCGTAAATATTCTCGTAGTTATGGTATTATACATTTGTTTTATACTGTCATATGTAATTGTAGTGTAATTTGTTTTATGCAGGGCCCCATTTAAACCAGCATATGCTGAACAGGGCATCTCTGCTAAAATATTGTTGATAAATAAATAAATATTGAACAATACGCTGCGAAAATACTACGCCAGGCGCGCACTTTCTTAGTGACGAAGATGTCGCGACGAAACCAATCAAAGAGGCCATAAGTGCAAAGCATAGTGGTTTTCTCGCTGGTCTCCAAGGAAACACTTGCAGCGCAGAACAACGTTTTTGTATCAAATAAAAAAGCGCTAATTAAGTTGTGAAAACTTTTCATTTTGTGCAATGTAG